CCATTTCTGGCATAGTAGATCATGTGGTTTTCTAATTCAAAATGGCCAAAACCAGTCCATTTCAGCTCCCTAATGCCTAGGATATCGATCTTTATGTGTTCCATTTCATTTTTGACAACTTCCAATTTTCCTAGATTCATACTTCGTACATTCCATGTTCCAGTTATTAATGGATGTTTGCAGCTCTTTCTTCTCATTTTGAGTCATGCCACATCAGCAACTGGAGGTCCTGAAAGCTTTACTCCATCCACATAATTAAGATCAGCTCTACTCTGAGGAGGCAGCTCTTCCCCAGTTGTATTTTGAGTGCCTTTCAACCTGAGGGACTCATCTTCCATCACTCTATTGGACAATGTTTCAAAGCTATTCATGAAGTTTTCTAGAAATATATCAGTGTTTCACTGCTATTCATAAGGTTTTTATTGGCCAATTCTTTGAGAAATTGATGGCCTGTTCCTTCTTCTGAGTCTGTCTTATTCTGGAAGTTCTGCTGAAACCTGCCCACCGTGGGTAACCCTGGTGGAATTTGCAACACTAGTGGCATAGCCTCCAGCCTCATAGTAATCTGTAAGCCACTGCGGTATGACAAACTGACAGACAAGTTTGTCCCTCTTAGCTGTTCCAAACTGCTCCACTCACTTCCTGGTCTTCCTTAAAGCTGATCCAAACACCCTTGCACTCAGCTCACCACCTTGTGGGCCTCCCTTTAAGGCTGCTTCCAAAAATCTCCACAAATTGTGCTATAGACACAGAATAGAGTGTTATTCCACAACACAAGGGAATGAAGTACTGATCCTGCTACAATATGAATGGATGAACCTGGAAAGCATTATGTTGAGAGAAAGAAGACAGACACAAAAGGTCACACGGTGTATGAATGAATCCATGTATATGAAATCTCTAGCATAAGTAGCTCTGTAGGGACAAAGTGCAGACTGGTGGTTGTCAGGGGCTAAGGGGGAAGGATTGGGGTGGGATTAGATAGAAACTGCTTAATGTATATTGGGTCTTCCCTGGAGGGTGGAAATGTTTTGGGATAGAGGAGGTGATTGTGCAACATTGTGAATGTACTAAATGCCACTGAATTGCTCACTTTAAAATGGATAATTTCATGTTATATTAATTTCATCTCAATAAGTTATTTTAAAAAAATGAATAGAGCAAACAAGTGAATACAACAGTCATTACATATCCCCTTAATTATATGCACTCTATTCCATGAACTTGGCATTATCCTTGTAGGCTTGTAGAATGAGTGTTGTTTGCTGACTGGCCTCTGTGGCTTATGTTGGAGCCATTTCTGCTTCCTACTCTGCCATTCAGGACAACCAAAAATGAACCTGTATGGGGCCAGGAAAATAGAAAATGGCCAATTCCCCAGGAAAACATTTGCCTTCCAAGACTCCCCTCATTCCCTTTGCCCCTGTCTTCTCTGATTCCCCATCCAACAACTTGGGTTCCTCTTCCCTGGTCTAAAGTTAGAGCTGAGCACGTATCCCAGCTCTACCACTTACTGCTGTGTGGCTTTGGGCAAGTCACTTAGCCTCTCTGACCCTCAACATCCTCACTTTAAAATAAGGATTGTGATGAAGGTCTGGCAAGGTGACACAGGTGAAGTGGCACCAAGGAGCACAAGTAAATATTAGTGGCCACCTCATGATTATTGTTCTCCTTCTTCTCCATTTCAGTCTGCTGACATCGACAATCACCACGCGCTCATTGAATATAATGAGGCCGAGGGCGGTTTTATTCTCCAGGACTTTAATTCCCACAACGGCACCTTTGTCAATGACTGCCACATTCAGAATGTGGCTGTGAAGCTGTTACCTGGAGACGTCCTGAGGTTTGGGTCGACAGGGCTGACCTACGAATTGGTCATCGAAAACCCACCCCAGGTGAGTCTGGGCTGCTGTGGGGTAGTGGGGCAGGAGGTGCTGTGTAATGTCATCTTCCCTGCAGCCTGGTGCTCAGATGCAGCCCTAGGATGTCTTTGAATCTGGAGCTCATACAGACCACCATCAAGCTGTGATTTCATGTTGTACACACAAATGACAGCAATAGGACTCCACCCTGCAAAGTTCAGACCCTTCTCTGTGGGTCTTGGGAGAGCTGAGGTTGGGGGAGAGAGTCTTAGTTCCCTCTTTTAAGCATTTTTTGGAATCATTCTCAAGTGTGACTTAGTGGCCGTTTCTAAAAAATAAAGAAAAAAAGAAACCCTTTGCCATCTAGTTCAACCTCATGTGTTACAGAATAGAATGTGGCCCCCATAGAGTTTAAGTAGCACAAATCATTAAGCACTCAACTACTAGCTGAAAGGTTGGTGACTTGAACCCACCCAGAGGCACCTCAGAAAGACAAACCAAAAAAAAAAAAAAAAAATACCCAGTCGTTGAGTCATTTCCAACTCACAGCGACCACCATTGGGTTTCCATGGCTGTAAATCTTTACAGAAGTAGACTGCCTCATCTTCCTTCCATGGAGCTCCTGATGGGTTTGAACTTCCAACTTTTCTGGTTAGCAGCTAAACCACTGAGTGCCTAACCCACTACGCCACCAGAGCTCTTTCCTCAGAAGACAGGCCTGGTGATTTGCTTCCAAAATGTCACAGCCTGGAAAACCCAACGAAGCACAGTTTGACTTACACACATGGGGTCACCATAAGTCAGAATCCACTCAATAGCAACTAACAACAATCTTTCCAGAAGCAGATTGCCAGGCCTTTCTTTTTCAGCACCACTGGGTTGTAGTCACGTGCAAGCCATTTGCACCACCCAGAAGAGCTAACATTTTCCTGAAAATGTACAGCTACATGAGCATAGGTGAAAAGCAAGTATAGGCTTTTGAAAATTCAGAGATGGCTGCTTCATGTTCAGACAGATCAGTGTTCTGCTGCTTCCTGACCCTGTGACTTTGGCCAGGGCCTTTTGTATTTCTGGACCTCAGCCTTCTCATCACTCGTTGGCATGTGGCATTATGAAAGAATACCTGTAAAACAAGAAACTGAGTGAACAGCCCCAAGCAGACCCCAAGTAACACATGGTAGTTATTATTATACCCCAGACCAGGAACATTTCTGGGGTCATAGCCTGAATAATGGCTCCAACTTAAGTGAAATATAACACAAAATTTGCCCATAAAGGCTTACTCACAAGGAGCATGGGGTTCTCAGGGGAGGCAGTGTGGGAAAGTGGTTAGTGATGTAGGTGTTATGTCCCAATTCTACCACTTACTGTGTGTTCTCTTGAGCAAGTCATTTGACCCTTCTGAACCTCAGTTTCCTTATCTACATAATGGGAGTGATAAGAGGAGCAACCTCACAGGCTTGTTTTGAGGATTGAATGAGACTGCTGTAATTATATAACTCTTAGCACACTGTCGAGGTTGTGGTGAGCACACAATTAATATCTGTGGTGTATGTTCACTCAGATGCCGTGCTTCTCCCCCTCCCCACCTAGAAGGCTGCAGAGTCTGGATCTCAGTAGCTGAAAATCTTTGCTGGCACAAGGCTGAGTGTAAATAAATAAAATTTACAGACTCTAGCCAGAATCTTAGGGCTTTTGGCTCCCAGACAGCCCTCCCCATGTGCCCCAAGAGAAGCAGTGGCATCCTGCAGGCCGTGTGGACAGTGAGGCCACATTTGATGTTCACAGTCAGTTTTGAAAATCTGGCACAGTTTTTCTCTGCTGCTACTCTTTTGCCTTGTCCTCCTCAGACCAACATTAAAGCACTTTTGTGCATGGAATGCACAGAGGTCAGCTGGGAGTGATGAGGAGGGGTTCCTGACCAAGAAGGGGTTGATCTGACTGGACATTCTCAAGATGGGTTTTAAGGATCCCCAATTCTACCCTGCATTGCATCAGAACCACATGGGAGCAGACCAACAGTATGGATCCTAGAGCCTTATCCCAAGCCCAAAGACTCATACTTGGCTTCGCCAATAAAATACAGGACATTAGTTAAATTTGAATTTCAGATAAACAACAAATCATTTTTTAGTATAAGCATGCCCCAAATAAGGAGACCTGGTTGCTCAGTGGTTAGGTGCTCAGCTGTTAACCAAAGGTCAGCGGTTCGAACCCACCCAATGGCTCTGTGGAAGAAAGTGAGGCAGTCTGCTTCAGTATACATTTACAGCCCTAGAAACCCTGTAGGGCAGTCCTACTCTGTCCTGTTGGGTTACTATGAGTCAGAATTGACTCAACAGCATGCAAACAACATGCCCTGAATACTGCATGGGATGTGCTATTACTAAAAAAATATTTAGATGTTTATTTGAAATTCAAATTTACCAAGACATCTTATATTTTTATTTATTAGTTTTATTCAATGTAGCCACCCAATCTTGCATCCTGGGTCTGGGGCCTGGGATTCTGCATTCTAACAAGTACCCTAGTGATTCTAATGCACCCCCAACAGCTGGGAAACTGGCCCTAGAGTCATTTGTACATAACGTTTATAGATTGGGGGGCGGCATGGGATCACAGAAAATGCAATTTCAAACCCCAAGCCTGAAAACTCAAAGGTACGTGAAGTTCAGGCCAGTGTTTCCCAAACATATCTGATTATAAGAATGTTTCAGGAATGATGATTAAAAACATGGATTTCCAGTTCTCTTCCTCAGGAAATTCTGATTTTTCTGGCTTGTGAGGGGAGAGAAGAAGTATTGCATTTTTTTTCTTTCTTTCTTTTTTCATACAAATATATTTATTGCAATATTTTTTATAATGGCACAAAATTGGAAACCTTAAGGCCTATTAAGAGGGGGACAGTTGAGTAAGATAAAAGAGTTTGTTTGTATATGGACTACTATGCTGATTTTTTTTGAAAAAAAAAAAAAAACAGCTTCATAGAGGTATAGTGTTTAAAGTATATAATTTGATAAATTTTGGCATAAAAATACATATGTGAAACCATCATTGTGATCAAGGTACTGAATATATCCATCACCCCCAAAAGTTTTCTCGGGACACTGCGTTTGTTTGTTTGTTTGCTTGCTTGCGTTTAACAGGTTTATTGGACTATATATAAACCAAACAAAAAGTAAACTCACTGCTGTGGCATCAGATCCTACTCATAGCGACCCCTCCTTGAGTTTCTGAGGCAGTATCACTATGGAAGTAGATCACTCAATCTTCCTTCCAAGAAGTGGCTGGTGGGTTTGAACTGCCGGTCTCCTGGTTAGCAGTCAAATGCCTTAGACGCTATGCCACCAGAGCTTCACACATTTTCAGTGTACAATAAATGTTAGAATGTTTAAGGAGTTGTGCAGCCATCACCACAATCTACTTGCAGAACATTTCCATCACCTCGAAAAGAAAACTGGGGGGCACTGTGTTTTAAGATGTGATTCTTATCATTAGACAAGTGTGGGACAGTGGGGAAGAGTAACTTTCAAAGACCTCTAACTCCTGACCGGAGGAGGAGGAAGAGGAGGGTTTATAGAAAGAGAAAGCAGGGTTTCTACCATTGGAATTAGGATTCCCTGGGAGGATCACTGATGAAGCACTAGACCACTAACCAAAGGATTGGCCACTCGAAGTCACCCATAGGCACCTTAGAAGAAAGGCATCATGACCTGCTTCTGGAAGCTCACGGCCATGAAAATCCTATGGAGCATAGTTCTGCTCTACAACACATGGGCTCATCAGAATTGACTTGACAGCAACTGGTTTGTTTTCTTGGGGAGTTGGAGAGCGGTTTGGAGGACATGGTGCAAACGGTTAATGCACTTGACCGCTAACTGAAAGGTTAGAGGTTAAGTCCACCCAGAGGCACCTTGGAAGAAAGGCCTGATGATCTACTTCTGAAAAAGTACCCATTGGAAACCCCATGGAGCAGCTCTACTCGGTTACACATGGGGTCACCCTGAGTTGGAATCGACTCAACAAAACTGGGACTGTCGTGTCCATTGGAATGAGGATGAGTAGAGGAGGAATCACTAAGGACACTGTGCTAAGCAATTTACCTCCTTTCCCTTTCTTAATGCTCACAACAACTTATGAGGTAGACTCTTATGTTCCCCATTTCACAGACAAGGAATCTAAGACTCAGAGAGGTTAATCACAATTTTAAAAAAAATGAAAGAAAGAAAAGATATGCTATAATCTTAACCTTACACCTCTATTTATAAACTCATTTTGGGATGACTTTTTGTTATGTTAATGAGGCAGGGTGAGTGTAGGGTGAGTCTTAAAAAAAAAAAAAAAAAGACTCAGAGAGGTTAAATAATTCCCCCAGAGTCACACAGCTTAGTCAATGCAAATTAAACATTATCACCATTTGCAGATAGGAGAGGGAAGAAAACCACTTAGTCTGATGCCAGCTAGAGCATTATTACAGACTGATGTTCAGATAGTAGCAAAGCACACTTTCACACTGTTACAGTCATTGGATTATGCGTGAATTTTGTCTGTTCTTATTTCTACATGTAGTTGCATGCTGCTGCATTCTGCAAGGCCTGCAGGCAGCCTCACAGCTGTTCCCTGGCCTGGGCCCAGGGTGTTGTAGGCAAACAAGGTTCTTAACCCCTCCCACGAAGAGCCAATGATCACAACAGGTTGAAGAGGGAAAGCGAAAGGTTTATTGAGTATCAATACCCAAAGAGACAGAGAGAATCCATTCTCAAATTGCCTGTCTACTTGAGCTGGGGAATGCTTAGGGTTTTTAAAGGGGGTCAGAGGATTTGAGGAGTGCTGACAGTGTTTCCTTCTCATTATGGGATGAGTTGTAGTTGTTTTGTGATCTCTCAGCTCTTCTTCTGGTCAGTGATAAAAAACCGTCCTTGGTCAGGGGAAGTGTCCTTCAGGTTCCTCACACCTGCCTAGAGAGGTTAACTCCACACGGGGGGAGAGTATGGGAGCGGACCCCCTCAGAGCCCTTGCTCCGCCAAGGGTAT